TGATTTACGTTACGCAAAAGCGTGTGCCCTATAAATAATGTCATCTCTTCTAAAATTTGAAGGATTTAGAACGCGCATTTTTATGTGCCCTTGAAATTAGTGTCAGAACAAAAAATAAAAAAACACGGAGGGCACTCAGCATAAAAAGCGTGTCGTCTAATCTTGTCGCTTTATATTTTTTTTAGGAAGGCACGCATTCTTGGGGGTGGGGGGAAATGAAATCCCAAAAAATTAAACGCCCGCCTGAATTATCTCCTTGTAAAATCCTCTACCAAAAAACCCTAATAATCCTTTAAACAACTCGTCTTCCCCCCCTCTTTCTCTCTCTCTTCTTCTCTCTCTCTCTCTCTCTCTCTCTCTCTCTCTCTCTCTTTCTCTCTCAAGCCCTAAGCCCTAAACAGCCTCCACCATATTTGAACGAGCCCTCGCCAGTTACCTCTACTCCATCATCAAGCTCTTGCTCCGCCTATGGAGGAGGTAGTGTTGCTGGTGGTTGTCCTTCAGCTTCAGCTACGCCTCTTCACGATTATAGTCTGTAGCAGCTCGTCTTCCCCCCCCTCTCTCCCTTCTCTTTCAAGCCCTAAGCCCTAAACAGCCTCCTCCAGCATCTGAACGAGCCCTTGCCAGTTACTTCTACTCCACCATCAAGCTCTTGCTCCACTTATAGAAGTGGTGGCGCTGCTGGTGATTGTCCTTCAACTTCTCTACCCCTCACCTGTGTCTTCACTTATACATAGGCCCACCACTCGCATAGAATTGTAAACATATGCGGTTTGGGGGTTCTTATTGGCAACTCGCATACAATCATCACCATGGACTTCGATTCTCTTTTGATGATTATGCTCACTAGTGAACTGGGTTCCTTTGATTCTCTGTAGATTCATGAGCTTCATTGGTTTCTGCGGATTCTTTGAATTGCGTAAGGTCAGACTTCCACACTCAGAAACATTATCTATAGTCTATTACACTCTGACGTCAAAATTAACAAAGTCTATCTGGAAGATTCCTCATTTATTTCACTTTTTAGAAACTTTAGTGGTTAAACCCTTTCAGTATTTGATTGGGTTGTTGGAAGTTAAGATCAATTATAAAATTACCAATCCTAAAGATCGCCCTTTTTTCTCAACATATAGGTTCGCAATTGTTCTAACAAAAAGTGTTAATTGATTGATATGATTAGGGGTATGGGTTGGCTAACTAAAAGTTTAAAAGGGTCCAGCTCCACCCATAGAATCTCAGAAGGTCGATATCATGACAGATATGAAAACGAAGAAATTATGGAGGAGCCTCCTTCTACAGAGGTAGTTAACATTTTCTTACATGTTAAATAAGATCTATCTCTATATACCTATATTAATGTATGTGGTCTAAAATTGTACTAAATTTCTGTACTTTTTTGTCCTAAATTTAGGATGCATTGTCAGACGTTGATCAGGAAGAAATTGACAGAGCTATTGCGTTTTCCCTTGTTGAAGAAGATGAGAGAAGTGCACTTTCCCTTGTAGAAGATGACAAAAAAAAGTGCACGTTCAAGTGTATGAAGAAGAAGGCTCTGTTTCTGAACCTTCAGTAATTTACTAGAACTAAATTTCTTTCAGGTACACCGTGTGACTTTGTTTTATGCCATCAGAACAATTGGTGATATCAAACAACAAGAAACACATGCAGAGATTATGTAATGATCGTTTATTCCATTCAATTATTCACTTGAAACATGAGTAATTCACTAGGATATTCAATGCAAGTGTGCAGAGGCTTAATCTGACTTTCTCCACAGAGGTGCAGATAAGTATGGGGTTGCAATTCAAGATTGTCTAACAAGAATGCCTGGCATATCTTTAGTTGCTCGTGAAACCACGTACTGTACCTTCCATTCAGGCTACTATATCATATGTGATCTATCTGTATAACTATGAATTGTTTAGAATTGTTTTGTATTCTTCTTGGTCAAAACAGAGTAGTATACAGATACATATATGTGCATACATGTGAATATAGATGTGTACATGCATATACATATATAGATATGAAAAAACATATACATGAATAAATAGTTAGAAGTGGGATCCATCAAGCATGTTATCCATGTAATTTGAGATAGTTTTATAGTCCCCCTCACTACAAGTTTCCCAAAGGCTAGTTCACTGCAATTTCTCTTTCTTAATTACTAAACTGCCCATCCCTCAAATTCAAATACCATTTTCACTTTCATGAAGGCCCTCTTCTATTATTGGATCACCTCCAACTTGTTCTCCCTGGTATATGGATTAAGTAAGTTAATAGAAGTATTTTGGCATGATTCCACCGGGTCAATGGAACAATTAAAGTCAACAGTTGACCAACCTTTGACTAATAGTCCTCTCAGCAAGATGTTATGCAATGTTTATCTTGGCCTTCATTATTTCTTTTTTACTGAATTTGGAGTAGCTGAAAATCCTCCTCTCCTTGGCTACCTTCAATCTTTGCTACAATTATCATCCACAATTTTGCCATTACAAGCAGCTAAAACAATGAGTGTCACAAATTGGAATTTTTTTAATTTTGTCCATTTAATGCAATAACATTTTTTGTTTCATGTGTTGTTAGGTTTTCGATGTTTTTGAACAGTGGAATGATGGAATGGAATCTGGGATTCTGAGTTCTGAAGATATTGGCTACTTGAAGAAGAGCATACACAAAAAGAAAACGACAATACTGTCACAACCCGATACTTCAACTCTTTGTAACGACCAAAATGGGTCAAGTATTGTAACCACTTACGAGTAATAAAATGTATAAATAAGTTCTACTTAATTTCTTTCTATGATTAAATGTCTTTGAACCATGATCGTACGTAAAAAGATCGCCCAAATCCGACTTCATATAGCGAAGTTATGAATTTTCAAAGAAATTCCTTAAACACGATGGGTTTTTATTAAATAATAAAAATAATTTTGGAATTTGCCGACGGAGTCTAAACGAAAGTTGTAGAGCGTAGTCTCACCTACGCGAGGATATAAAGACCATCGAAAACGGAGTTCGTATAAAGAAGATATGAATTTTTGAAGTTTATTAAATAAATTAATTATTTATTTTAATCAAAATTCGGATATTATCCGAAGGGGAGTCAGCGCCCTCATCCGAGGTATGCGCTGCGTACTCCTGTACGCCCCGCGTAACCGAGAGGATTGACCTCTGATCGTCCACGTCGCGCTATCGAAGGAACCAACCCGTCCACCCGTCCGAAGCCCCGACCCGTCCGACCCGCCGTCCCATCCGACCCGCGTACCCAGCAACCTGTCCCATCCGAAACCGAGGCAGTCGAGGCCTCGGTCATGCATGACGTACGCGTACGCGCTGCGTACGAGCGTACGCCCCGCGTACCGAGGCAGACCAGCCTCACTATAAATAGGCTACGAGGGTTTCCAAAGAAAGGGCTCATTTCTCTTCTCTCTCTCTCAACTTTGCCTCTTTTTCCGTGTCCGTTCAAACCCGAAGCTCTGGTCTTTTTGGCTCAAGTCCCGAAGGTTGATTTTACTCCCGAGATTCCCGAGAATCCCGAGGAGAATCCGTTTCCCGAGACGAAACTCTTCCCGGTTTTCCATCTCGCTATCTCCAAAACTTTCAAGTGAGTTTCATACCCTTTAATCAACCGTTTTAATTATTCTAAATACTTTTATATGCTTTCAAAGGGGGGATTACAAGTAAAACACACGAGTATTATCGTGTGTTACATAAAGAAACTCTTTTATATACTGTTAAATATTCAAATCACATGCGATTTATAAACCTTTAAAGGAACTTTTATATATAAATATATATCATATGTTACAATAGCATTCGATCTTTTAAAATATAAAGTTGTTGTAATGCATGTATAAAACTAAACTGTTCTTAAATTATTCTTTTCTATCGTAGACTCTACACCAAAAATCTATGCTTTCATAAACAAATGATTCTTTTCCTAAGTATTTCTAAAACAAACAAGGCACACTTTTTGAAAACTATAATAGGTATAGTTTTACGAACAGATTTCTAACTCTTATGTACTAGAAACATATATTTCAAGAAGTTTACTTTCGTATACAAGAACAAACGTAACATTTTAACAAGTAGATCTGTTTTTATACCACGGGTTTGTGAGACACTAACTTCATGTACGTTCGAGTACACATTTCAAGTCCTGTATTATATACCAGAATCCCTTGGAGGGGGAGCATGGTGTTTGTGTATAGATCTATACGGGCTTGACAACCCGCGCCCTGACTGTTAGCTGCAGTCCACCGTTTGGGGTGACAAACGTCATAACATTCCAACGCCTGAAGAACGTTGTGTATAGGCATTCCGAGTCAATAGTATGGTTATAAAACTCACAAGGGGTATTAAAAATGCATTGATTTACAAGGTTTTCAAACTCATTGATTATTTTACATTTACACACATTTTGGAAACAAACATTGGTCTTGAGTGAAGGCTACTTTTATACTAGTAGAAAATATAGGATTTTCTAACACAAACAAACAAAGATAAAACATTTCATTTCATTCAAAAATTGTCACTAAAATACTTATGAAATTCACCAGCTTAAATGCTGATCTACTCTTTCAAAATTACTTGTATGTCCCAGGAAATCAGTAATTTCAGGTATGCATTTCGCTTTTGATGAAGGGATGCTGCGGCGCCAGTTTAATCTCGTATTTTGACATCATATTGTAATTGAGTTTTGAATATGTAACTTTTGACAAATGTAAACTTTCAATTATATATATATGATGGTTGTATTGCTTTCTTTACTATGTATTCAATTGTTACGTTACCACATGAAGTCATCCGCCCCCGAACGTTTCCGCCGTTCAGGTTTGGGGGTGTGACAAATACTTCCAACTGTACAAGATAAATGGATTTCTTTACATGAATCCTTTGGTCTTTTATGTCGGTGTGATGATGAACATCTGAAAAAAGAATTCAAGAACTTGAACAATGTCGATTTTCTATGTTTTGGGGATCTTAATCATGAAGAAAAACAAATCCTTTGGGATAAGATTTATGTGTTACTTCAGAATTTCGGAATCCCTTTGCTTTCTAAGGTACATCTTACTCTCTTTCTCTCTCATACACATACTGGAATCTCTTTCTCTCTCTCTCTCTCTCTCTCTCTCTCACACACACACACACTCAGGTTTTACATGTTGTGACACGTGAAGCAATATACTATGGCCCAACAGACAGTAGTTTCAAAGCTTCATTAATAACGTGGGCCCTTCCATATGCACATCGTTACATTTACACCAATCATCCAACTTAGATCATGTTGTTTGAATTAACTTCTGATTTTTTAATGTTATTCTTATTTTAGTAATAAAGAAACCCTCAGTGAAGAAGTTTCTCAACATACCTGTAATCATACCTCCACCACCATCTCCCGCTAACTTTTTATTTTGATGTTATTTTAGGTACAAGGGCAGCTATATCGTATCAGAATGAGGCTTTTTTTTTCCTTCCCTAACTCTTCTAAGAACGATTCCAACATTTTGGATTGTGTTTTTCTTTTCTTGGCTTCTTTTCGAAGAAAAGAACTTCTTGATATATATTCTGATAATAGTGGATATGGTGAACAATCATATAGATATTTGATTTGCCAACTTGATGTTTGAAGGTTTGAAATAACTTTATTGAATGCAAGTGAAGTCTTTCATGTAAAATATGTTGGCGCTTTCGCTAACTGCTTCAACAGTTGCCACCAGAAGGACAAATTTGGGTATTCACCTTATTTCATTTATTCACATAATATTAAAAAACATCTTTTTTTTTTATTGATTTCTCTTTATTTTCTTAGGCAACTGCTACTGAAGTCCAAACTCTGCTAGTTTATAGGGGATTGACTTAGTTCTTGCAGTACAACTTGGTGATCAGGTTTCTCTCTCTCTCTCACACACACACACACACATTCTGAAAAATCTACTCGATTATAGAATTTTTTTTCTATTATATTTTTATTCCTACCTTCTCTTTGATTTCAATATTCTGGATTTAGCATCTTCTGTTGAGTTTATTCCTACACTTTTTGCATTCAAGTGTATGTCTCCATCAGGTAATTAATTTTGATAATGTATCTTTATTGCTATTAAACACTACTATAGATTATATAATCCTGATACATTTGTAATAATCATTTTTTTTAATGTTTTCAACTATTAAACACTACTATAGAAGAAGAGGACTCTGTTGTGTTTACATGCAACACACTAGTAGGTGTCTCTTGTAATTTGTTGATGTATATTTTGGGCTAAATGCTACTTTCATTTTTTAGGAGGGAAAAAGATAAAGACCTGACATTACAAGTAGTAACCACTGAAAGCCAGGCTGCCATGAAATTGGTATGTAACTTAACATAGTTGGTTCTAATCCTTTTATTACAAGAAAATGTATATTTTTATGATTTAGTTAGAAGGTTTGTTACTTTATTTTGGGGTATTTGTGGGCAAAACAAAGGGAAGATGAGATACAGGGATTGGAATTGAGATTAAGGTTTCATGAGGCTACAGTAAAGAGGCTTGAGGCTGTGGACAAAGTGAGAGAAGTTGAAGGAAACCC